TCTATTATAGACCGCGAATTACAGTAAAAATATTAATATTGAAATCTAGTCGTGTAGTCATGACTGAAACCTAGTCGCGACTGAATGCAAATCGACTAGTCGACTGGTAACACTAAGCAATAATATACTCAATTTTAAAAGAGATTTGATTGCACCCTTGGTGCCTTTGGGAACTTCTTTTTTCGTAATTTTTTCGAGAAAGTAAAATGTTGGCGTATCATATACTGAAATTGATAATATTATGATTTTAATTAAAGTAATAAAACAATATTATGGATATAATTACCGATATAGACAGCATCTTTGTTATTATATTTACTTTTTCAAAAGAAAATAAAGAAAGAAAATTTGATATAACTTCAACGAAGAATAGGTAGAACCAATAGTATATGTAGAGTAGATGGAACCAGATATTTGACATTAATATAACCATCTAGAAAAAAAAATACAAGATATAAAAAAGTGTATTATATAAACAATGCATTTTTCTATTATCTATAACACTTACTGGTTGATTACACAAGATATACTCGTGATTTGTTTTTTAATATATAATTTGATCGTTATTTGCTGGTCATCTAAAAAATTCGACACTCTATGGTTTTTTGTATGCGGAGTTGTCAATTCAATCCTAAGTAAAATAGATTATCAGCAAACAAGATATCAATATTCGAAATTTACTTATCAACCATTATTCAACACATTATTGTACATGCGAAATAATCTGTTCAAATATATATTATCATGTCAATTGCGTGTTTGTTCATAATGATAACAGTCAGATTTATAATTAATCAGTGATTCTAAACGGATCAAACTATTTATAGTAATGCAAATTGGTAAAAACACAAATAACAAATGGTATGTGTTGCGCAATGCCGCGTGCTTCATTTTAACATAGTCAAATCTCCCATGAAGAAAGATTTTTGAACAATGGTTGGAATGTTGTTTCTGTTATATAGAGTTTCATCAAATTGATTAATCCATAAATTTGTCTGTTGGATCCCATTTTTTTTCTAAAGGATACCGTCAAACCAAGTAATTTCGTGCTTATCCAAAGATTTTTTGATTTCATTGTGCATTTTATCATCAGAAAGGCCTTTGAGATATGATGGTTTTTCCAGATTAGGTATTGGTTTGCCCAATAATTAAAAATTCAAATTTTCGAAAAAAAAAAATTTTACGATTTGGCCTTTCCTATATGATTCAATAAACTTATTTATGACATCATTAACGTGACTCAATATTAATACTAATACTAATACTAACGATCGATTAATCGAAAAAATTTTGACTGGTTTTAAAACTAACTCAAATAATAATTCAATACCATTTATTGTCCAAATTTCTTTACGAAAGACTGTTTCTGATGCTACGATCAAGCGTTGTAATATGATAACAAACTGTTCCAAGTCTTTATATTTAAAGGTTTTATCTATTTTAATTTCTACCGTTTATACTAATACGGCACAGTCTTTGTGGATCAATTTACCATAAATAATTAAACACAGATCTGCATTGGAACGTTTTTACTTCTAGACACCATTTAAATAAAGATTACTATTATTATTGGCGATCGATTGTGAAAATCAATCTCTATCATGACAATTAATCTTCAATATAAATAAGTGATATAATAGTATTATTATTATTATATTATTAACGTAGTACGGCTTTCAATTATTTATTTATTCATTCATATCAATTATCACTTAAAAATTGATAATCTCTAATATTAATACCAGTTTATATTGGAAACTCGTTTTTAGTTTAACTTCTCAATACGTTAAAGGTTAGTATTTATGAAGATCACGAATTTATTTTTGTGTAAATATTTATGATCGACAATATGTAAAATGAATTTTCACTGAAAAAATATTTTAAAAAAAAAAATTCCTAAAGTTGTGAAATAAAACAAACCACTAAATTGACTCAAGGGAAAATCAACGCCTATTAAAATTTACAATATTAAAAAAAGTAAATTAAAAATTTTATTTATCTTTATTTTTTTTTTTTTTTTAAAAAGAAAACTTTTGAAAATTTTATTATTAAATTCACTAGAAAAATTTAATATAAAACCCCCAATTAGTGAGGAATAATCATCCAAAAAAATTCTATCCTGATCAACAACAACAACGACATCAACAACAGCATCAACCACCATTACAACAATCGCCTCCTCTAACATCAACAAATGCTTCTTATTATCCCCAACCACCGCCACCACACTTATCATCTCAGCCGATACAATCGATACAACCATCACAACCACCACCATACTTACCTCACCTTTACTCTTATCCACCTCCATTGCCTCCACCTCCTCATATTGCTCCAATACAACAGCAATTACCATTACCACAACACCAATCCTCTTCTTCTTTAACACATAATAGTAATAATAATTCTGATGATGTAAATTCCAGGGTAATATCATCATCGTCTTCATCATTATCAACACATCCTGAAGCAAAAAGAATTTTCAAAAAAAAGGAAATGTATGAATATAAAGCACCTTGGACAGTCTATGGATTAGATTGGTCAAATAAACCAGGAGAAAAGGCTTTTCAATTGGCTTTAGGAAGCCTTATCGAAGGTTACCCTAATAAGGTTAGTGCTGATGATGACTGTAATGATGATTGTGGTACTCCAATTTATTTATTTTCATCCTAATTAATTAATTTATGTTTATAATTTGGGAATTAAAAAATCAGCTTCAAATCATTACACTTGCAGAACTTGCACATGATGATTCTTATTATCATCGTCAATATTCAAATTCTGATTTTGTTAAAATAGCTGAAACAGATTATCACTATCCCATCACAAAAGTATTATGGGAACCATATAAGGTTTATTGATGAATGTAGTTTCTTATTTCTTGTAGAATTTATTTTTGTTGTGGTAGTAATTGTTAAAACCAATATATTAATTAATATTTAGGGTGGTTTGAATGATCTTTTGGCGACAACTGGCGATTATTTAAGAATATGGGAAATCGTTGAAGATATGGATGGTGGTGGCGAAAGTAATACAATTGGTTCAAATCGTTATTCTGGATTTAAACAAAGACTTGTCGAGAGAGAATCACTTATAAATGTATAATTTGTTTTAAAAAAACCTTATCATTTTCTTCTCTTTGCAAAAAAAAAAAATTAGAAATTTAATCGTCTATTTTATTAATTTATTGCAGGAGAGAGAAAGCTTTGGTGCACCTTTAACATCATTTGATTGGAATGAGATTGATCCAACACTAATAGTTACATCTAGTATAGATACGACATGTGCTGTGTGGAATATTGAAACTAAACAATTAAAAACACATTTAATTGCTCATGATGAAGAGGTTTATGATGTAGCATTTGTTACTAATTCAGTTGATGCTTTTGTGAGCGTTGGAGCTGATGAAAGTGTAAGATTATTTGATTTAAGGTAAATTTTATCTATTAAGAATAAGTTGTCGTTGATTTAATAATTTATTTAAAAAATCCTATTTTGAATAAATAGATCATTAAAAAGGTCCACAATTATTTATGAAATGCCACGTCAACCTAACAATAACATATATTCCAATCATAATCAACAACAACCACAATCACCGTTTCTTCATTTATGTTTTAATAAAATAGAAGCAAATTATTTGGCAACTTTTCATATGAATTCTCCAAAAGTAATAATATTGGATATCAGAAATCCCGGTACACCAGTTACTGAATTGGATGGTCACCTTGGTACAGTCAATTGTGTTAATTGGTCTCCAAATTCATCTAATAGTTTATGTAGTGGTGGTGATGATTGTCAGGTTCTTATATGGGATATTAAAAATTTATCATCCACATCTGTACCTAATCCTATCATCACTAAATATCACAAAGATGCAACCGAAATGAGTCAATTGAATTGGAGTACTAGGTGTCCTGAATGGCTGGCGATGGCGTTTGGAAATACTGTAAAAACTCTGAGAGTTTAGTAAGGTTTTGAAGAATTAAAAAATTTTGTATTTTATTAAATTATTTAACTTAATATTTATTTCAAGGGACTTTTTAATTTTTTTTTAAAAAAAATATTATGTAGAATATTCCATCATTCTTATTATCTGTAGATTTTTCTTATTTAACCAAAATTTTATTTATTATTTATAATAAATATATATATTTCTTACGAAACTAGCCAATCAAATATGGTGTATTTGGACGAAATTGGCTAATTTCGTTTTCACATGTGAATTTCAATACTAAAGATAAAATGTTGCTAATCTTTAAATGCTGATACTTTTACTAAAAACTCTATTTTTGCAATTTTCTAGACATGAAAAATAATGTAATAGAAAGCATTTTTTGAGCTATTTAGTATAAAAAAAAAGTCATAATGGTTTAAAGTTGGGTAACTATTATTTGAAATTTCGACAACCATCTAAACCGTAAATTTTACTATTATTTTTTTTTTTAAACGATGTAATCTTGTTGTTTAAAATTGATTAAAAATATGTAATACATATAAAAATTTGATTATTTACAATGCACAACTCCCCCCGTTTTACCATAGAATGTTATTCGTTTGGAACGACTTGGCTTCGTGTAAATTGTACTATTATTATTATAATTAGCGATTATTTTCACGATTTAGCAATTCTTCACGTGACCGACTCACGGATCTTTTATTTTTTGAGATTTTTGTTTGATTGGAGTCAATTTTATTTTGTTCCATATCTTTTTATAACATATTTTTACTGTAAGCTAGCTTTGGACAAGTGATATCTTTGTATTCATCTTTCACAAAATGGGCACAAATGGGCAAATATTATTATAAAGGTATTCTTGTCTCTTATAATCCAAAGGATGTGGTGTTAACACTAAAATAGATAAAAGCTTTAATTTTTTCAAAAACATCTGCTTTCTTAATTGAATTCAGTTTTTTTTTGTATTAGTATTGTGAGATAGTAAAACTGGACTGACAATGTCGATCAATAGAAACCAACTTATTGCGTTAAATCACGTGATTGTATCCAAACATTTTTATAGGATATATTAGAATCAATGTAGCACGTTTAGAAAGCATGGCAAAAAATACACTCTTTTTAATTACAAATTACAGATGCTGGTCGCAATTCTTGGTGATGGTTGCAACCATATTTGCGACATATAAAAATAGTTTGCGACACCTGGTTGC